ATGTATCAAATGGACGCTTCCTTAGAGACAGCAATGCTTTTATTTCCTGTAAACAGTAATTCAAATTGTGATATATGAATATCTACCCAATACAGTTCGAGCTTAGATTTCAATTAAAATATTTAAACTCTACAATACTGAATTCAACTGCGAGTAATGAGCTCTCTAATACAAAATACACTCTGACAGTTTAATTCTAGCATTTTGACACAAAGGTCTGAGTGAACTGAAGGTTTACAGTTCGTACCGGTAATCTAAAATCGACATTATCATGTGCAAGATGAAGTAAATATTGTCTGCACGCCCGACCACAGTGGAGAGCCATGTTTGTGTGCTACATTCAACATCATCCGATGAGTAAATTGTGCTCGTAACAACAGTTCCTATTTGGCATCCCCGGACGTAAATCGCCTAAGCGAAAGTCTTGTAAAAGGATTAGACGTTTGTACTTTTCAACGCCTGTTTTAACTACTGTAACTCATACCCATGAGTAAAATTAAGTAAATTGCCTTTGTGGTCGAAACAATTGTCTGTTCGTGAAAGCCGAGAGATTTTTATGTATTTAGTTCTTTTTGAAAATGGAAAAGATTTAGTGTCACCTGATGATATCTTTTAATCTTATCTAAACGCTCATTAAATTCTTAAGAGGATACAATCTTCCCTATCATTGGTTCATCATCTCGCACAGTGACATGTTTCTCGTGTTCTCATTGGTTGGTTTACACGTCAATCACTCTCACCAGAGGTCAGAAAAGTATCTGCTGCTCAACTTGTAACGTATCCACTTCCACAGCATGACAACCATCCTCAAGAAGCCAAACAAGGGCGGTAAGGTTTTATTACAATACACCTAACGTGTGATGCATACATTTCGATGTCAAATAAATCTTTGTAAAGTTGATTACATTGTTAAACTAAGCTGTCACAGATTGTCTCTACTCTAATAATCTTAATAGTTTCATATATGGTATTGTTGTATATTTGCTTCAACTTAAACTTATTTCAGTTAGCAAAATTCGTTTAGCTTTTCATCTAACATTTATATTTTATTTTATTTCAGTTAACACAAATGTTTTGAATAGTTTTAGATTTAGTTAACAATATTTACTCTGTCCTGGAATATTTTACCTAGAATTGAAAATGAATTAGTAACTTGTGTGGTTCTTTCTAAAAAAAAAAAAATATCAGCGTGTGATATCAGCATTTAATTTGTATACATTAATATATCTATATGACATAGTTCAGCTTAAGTGCCCAGATTAGTATTGATTACATCGGGTCAGTCTTACTTGTAGACTTCATGAAGCTTTAAGTTATTTAAAGGCTGTACGACATGCAATCTTCCCACTCACAGCCTGTGTTGTGCCAACAGTGAAGCCTGCTGAAAACTAGAGGCGTCCTGTGAGCCAAAGGTCACCATGGAGACAGACCATGCACCTACGCAGCCCAATGACGACTGCGTGGAGACCTGCACTGTATCCGTCAAAGGCCTGACAGAGAACTGGCAGAAATGGTCCAACGACCACTGCGAGAATCAGAAACACAATCCTTTCAGCAACAGCAAGGTGATTCCCCCACAGATCCAACGAGGACAGGAGGGCTACGGCAGGCCTTTAGAGGGCTCCAAAACAGAGCAGAGAGGAAAAGACGCCCACTCTCACATCAGCAGAGAGGTCACAGAGCTCTGCCAGGTCATTATGGAGAGCGGAGAGAGTGGAGACGATGGCAGGCCGGCTGTGCGGTTCGGGACACTGTTTGAAAGATACGTCACCATCTCTAATAAACTAGTGGGAGTTCTGCTGCGAGCACGCAAGCAAGGGCTGGTACACTTTGAAGGAGAGATGCTGTGGCAGGGGAGAGATGATGGAGTGCTCATCACCTTGTTAGAGTGATTTACAGCAGTGATGAACACCATGTGCCTGCCTGTTCAACATTGCTTTAGTTTATAGACATCCATTTTACTTGCACATGGGTTAGAAGTCAGTTTCTCGGCCAAATAAACTGTTTCTATTGAGATTTAAACTGATTGTATTAAATTCAAATGTAGCAAACTGGTATATTCTGTATATATCTATCTATATACTTTCCATTTTTGGTGAACTATTACTTTAAGCAGGTTTTTTTTTCAGCAGGGCAACCTACAAATGACTTTCTGGATAACACTGCACAATGATCTGTGATAGGATAACAAATGATCAAGCATTCACCTTTAAGTGAACGCTTACAATAACATTATAGTGTTGACACACAATGTCTTACTATTGAAACCTTTCAAAAAGGTTATATATATATATATATATATATATATATACACACACACACACTCACTACCGGTCAAAAGTTTGGGATCAGTAAGATTTTTAATATTTTTTTAAGAAGTTTCTTATGCTCATCAAGGCTGTGTTTATTTGATCAAAAATACAGAAAAAAAAATAATATTGTGAAATATCATTACGATGTAAAATAACGATTTTCTATTTTAATATACTTTCAAATCTAATTTATTCCTGTCATGCAAAGCTGAATTGTAAGCATCATTACTCCAGTCTTCAGTGTCACATGATCCTTCAGAAATCATTCTAATATGCTGATTTATTATCAGTGCTGGAAACTGTTGTGCTGCTTAATAATTTTTTTGGGGAACCTGTGATACTTTTTTCAGGATTCTTTGATGAATAAAAAGTTAAAAAAGAAGAGCATTTATTTAAAATAAAAATATTTTTTTAACAAAATATACTACCGTTCAAAAGTTTGGGGTCAGCACATTTTTATTCTTTATTTTTTTGAAAGAAATTAAAACTTTAATTCAGCAAGGATGTCTTAAATTGATAAGAAGTGATAGCAAAGATTTATATTGTTAGAATTTATATATATATATATATATATATATTTAGAATAAATGCTGTTCTTTTTAACTTTTTATTCATCAAAAAATCCTGAAAAAAGTACAGAGGTTTCCAAAAAATTTTTTGGCAGCACAGCTGTTGCAACATAGATAATTCAAATAATAAATCAGCATATTAGAATGATTTCTGAAGGATAATATGACACTTTAGACTGGAGTAATGATGCTGAAAATTCAGCTTTGCATCAAAGGAATAAATTATGTTTTAAAGTATATTAAAATAGAAACTATATTATAATAACATTTTGCAATATTACAATTTTTTCTGTATTTTTGTTCAAATAAATGCAGCCTTGATGAGCACAAGAAATTTCTTTTAAAAATATTACAGATCCCAAACTTTTGACCGGTAGTGTGTGTGTGTGTGTGTGTATATATATATATATATATATATATATATATTATATATATTACAACTATACAATTATATTATAGTCGGTTTCTCACATAATGAAAGTACATGTAAACTTTTCTGTATGGAGTTGCTTTGAATTTATTATAAATATAATTAATATAAAATATATTTATATTTTGATGATCATGTGATTTGTTTTTGAAGCACAAAAACGATTAAAAAGCAGACAAAACATATGCAGGTTATTATTTATTTTGTTTACATGCTTATGCATATACAGTGCAATTACGAGCTTACATCATTTAATAATTCAATACATCTGACACAATATAGTAAAATCTATGTCATGGCATAAACAGAGTTAAAACTTGTCACTTAGTGTCATATGAAGGAAGAAAAACAGAACTGTTCTTGCATCATCGATTGTACAGAATTACAAAAACACTGCCATATTCTGATGCCAAAATCATTTATATATATTATATATATTACAACTATACAATTATATTATAGTCGGTTTCTCACATAATGAAAGTACATGTAAACTTTTCTGTATGGAGTTGCTTTGAATTTATTATATATATAATTAATATAAAATATATTTATATTTTGATGATCATGTGATTTGTTTTTGAAGCACAAAAACGATTAAAAAGCAGACAAAACATATGCAGGTTATTATTTATTTTGTTTACATGCTTATGCATATACAGTGCAATTACGAGCTTACATCATTTAATAATTCAATACATCTGACACAATATAGTAAAATCTATGTCATGGCATAAACAGAGTTAAAACTTGTCACTTAAGTGTCATATGAAGGAAGAAAAACAGAACTGTTCTGGCATCATCATTGATTGTACAGAATTACAAAAACACTGCCATATTCTGATGCCAAAATCATTTAGCTATAGATATGACCCATTCGTGTGAGGTTAAAGGCCAAAGCTAATTATTGAGATTAATTACCATTTTTAGCTCATTCATATTTAAAAAGTCTTTGTCACAGCTCTGTATCCTTAAAATCATATTACTTCAGTAAAACTGGAAGAATACCAACTGTTCTCTGTAAAAGTTTAATGATTCTGTCAAATGTATCAATATTTTGCATTACCATTTTGCGTGCTTTTTCCCCTAAAGCAATTGAAAAGCAGCTGCAGTTTTTCGTAGCTTCAAATTTGATTAGCCCGTCTGGCTGACAATATAACTAACAGAAAACATAGCATTATGAGTATTATATCCCTGAGGCACATATCTGTGACCTTTTGTCAGATTGACTAGGACTGCTAAACAGATTGATTAGGACTGCTATTATGAGTAACGTTGCTCTGGGCATCTCAAACACTAACGTATTTTGAGTTCCTCTAACTTCCTGTACATTTAGCTCATAGAGTTCAGCTTTTGAAGTAACTGGTCCGCCAGCAAAATGAAGACGTACAAGGGTTAGCAATGCATTTGCACACTCCAAAGCAAGGGTAAGTCAAAAATCCTATGATTTAAAATGTAAAGAAAACATTTTATAGTAGTAGAATTGGTTAGACTGCGACATTTCTCCATCTGAGAGATCCATTGGAGCTGTCAAAAACAAAAAGGTTTTCATTCTCCTGCCACTGTGGCTTGTTTCAATTTAATACAATTTGCTTGCTCCAATTACATGACAAAAGGCCTCATTCAACAGACATAAGAAACAGCAACGTCTTGCTACGCTCAGAAAACATCTTGTTTGTTAATGCATCAATAACCTGCTCCAAGGGAATGTGATTATTCGTTTTAGTGGATGTAATTTAGTTGTGAACTAAATTATAGTGAATAGTGGATTGTATTGTTGGTCGGTTCTTTTGATTGCTTACAGTAATGAACCAATACAAGTTTAACCTGTAGACCACGCGGGACATGAAGCCCATCTGACTGACGGGTGCGAGAACATGGAGATGCGGATGTGTGACAGAACAGAACGGAGGCCAGTGGAACCCAAACCTAGGTAAGACAATAGATATGCGACACGTCAAACCATAATTCGTGTTGTTTTATATGCTCAATAAATAAGGACTTGATTTTTGTATTAATGGCAGATGTTTTCCATTACCTAACGCCATTTAAATCAGTCACATTGTTTTTCTGAAGTATCTCTTTCCCGGTTTCCACCAACTTCTCCACTAAAAACCCCAAAAACTGAATTTGCACAAATGACTGCTTAATAAAGCATGCTATGTGTAACTACACTCTTAAAAATAAAGGTGCTTCAAAAGGTTCTTCAAGCGATGCCATAGAAGAACCATTTTTGGTTCCACAAAGAACCATTCAGTCAAAGGTTCTTTAAAGAACCATCTCTTTCTTACCTTTTTATAATCTGAAGAACCTTCTTTTGCCACAAAGAACCTTTTGTGAAACAGAAAGGTTCTTCAGATGTTAAAGGTTCTTTATGGAACCATTTAGACAAAAAGGTTCTTCTATGGCATCGTGAAGCACCTTTATTTTTAAGAGTGTAGGCTGGGAAGTCCGACTTGTACACGTTAAATCTGACTCATTATTTCAGATTGATACTGTAGAAAGGCTCCAGAGTAGCTACTGTCAGAAATAACATTAACACCAGTCTCGAATAACTCACAGCGTGTTTACCTAATGGTACATGCTCTTTGCCGAGAGATTTACAATTGCCCACATATTTTCTTGGTACATCCAGATAGTGATGAGGAGCTCCAGGGTGTATATCTCTGAAACAGGACACAGTTTCATCCTGAAAAACAGGCTTTTAATTCATATAAAATATAATAATAAAAGTAACCATTACAATACATTTATTTGAATTAATTTGTGCTTTTACACTGTGCTTCATTTAGTCTTTTTCTTTTACTCTTTCGTAATTTGACAGCACTTTTTTTACTACTTCTGATGTATTAAAATGTGATTAAATACATTGCAAAATGTGCAATAATTAATGTGACTTAATCAACACGAAGAGTTATTATTCCTATTGTAAAACATAATAAATTCTAATTAATTTACAAAATAAAAATTATGTTAAAATACATAGCCTATAACTCTTTATTTCTTAGGCTACTTTCTTCATGCCGAACAAATATCACATTACCTTTTTTTAAATGACATTTCATGACGGATTGATGACATTTTGCAAAGGAAAAAAAAAATGCAAGGAAGTATTTTATGACACGTCAGTCTATTACTGATACGCTTCTATCCCATTTCATGGATCGTGTATTGTATTGTGATATTTAGCCTCATCATCATTAGCGCATCTGCATGAGTTTATGATATCTTAAATAAAACACTGTCAGCAAACTCCCGTCATGCAGGAGCTCAGTTCCCATTTCTCCCTTCACGATTTTACAGAAAATGCATTTTTTGTCATGTTCATCATCGGTCTGATCCGTTGTCCCGATCTCAGGTGTCGGTGTGTTTATGGCGGCTGCCATCTTCAAAACGTGAAGTCGGCGCTAATTACATCATCACGAACACGAGCGTCACATCATTTCAACATAAAAGTCCTCTCAGTCAGGGGTTTTTTAAGTCAAGAAATCCCAAGTATGATGATCCCTATGTTAGACAAACCTTGTTAAAATAGCAGCTGTTACATATTTTAATGTATAAAGCTCCAAAAATATTAAGCACGCTATTAAGACAAGTTGTTGTTCTCGAAAATAAATGATTGGATAGGCTACGACCTAAATTCCAATCAAATTATAATTTTTTTTTTTTTTTACTTTTCACCTCTGATCATCTCTGTTGATATTTAAAGTCAATGTGGATTGATGTTCGCAACCGTTTTACTTCCGTAATGTGACATTGCAAACAGGAGTGAAATAAGATGTTCAACAAGATATAAAGCAAATGTGAGTTTGTTAAAACAATGCCTAGCTATTTGGCTAACATTATCTGTTTATTATATTATACGTGTCTGCATGGTTTAAAAGTTTGGGGTCAGTAAGATTATTTTTTAAAGAAATTAATACTTTTATTCCACAAGGATGGATTAAATTGATTAAAAAAAATAAAGACTTTTATAATGTTACAAAATGTTACTAAAGGCTGCTGAAAATTCAGCTCTGCCATCATAGGAATAAAGTTCATTTTAAAATAGAAAATTGCAATTTTAATAAGTAATATAAGAAATAATAATATTTCATGATATTAATGTTATTACTTATTAAATTAATGCAGCCTTGGTGAGCATATTATATTCTCAATTCCACTACAAGTAAACGGGGTCATATTTTATTTCAAGCTGACTTTCAGCTCTAATTAGTTCTGTAATTCCAAAACCTAAAAATCAGCTCAAAATATTTGTCATACTTTTCTTTCTTGTTTTTTTTTCTTTCTCTCTTTTATTCTTGTGGTGCAATTAGTCAATAAGTGTCATCAGGGTGTAATTTTCCTGTGGCTCTAGAGTGAGTCACTTGGCATTTACAGCTAAAGTGATTGACACAAAACATTTTTTATGCAAAACTGAAAGCCCAAGAACAAAGATTGGAGAATTTAAATATATCCAGGTGATCATGCACCCACCGAATAGACTGCTAACATAATTCTAACATGACGCTTTCTCCAGGTATTATTTTGATAGCACCACAGCGTTTTTAATTGAATTACCAAATTAACATATATCTTATTTACTGTAATCTCTACAAATTAGCCTGACACATACAAAAAAAAAAAAAAAAAAGACCTAAAGGTTGAGTTAGACCAGTATTTCCACATTCTACCAGCAGGAGGCAGTGTTATTACAGCCTTCTGCAAAACCTTTGAAGTGCGAACAGCCTTTTACTCTCAGCTGTTTCATCATGTTTGTTCTTTTCAACCATCTGCACTTCTAATTTTCTTCGTCAAGCATGCATATCAGATAAGCCATGGTAGATGTACTGTACTAGACCCACAGCTGAAGTCACAACATGCTTTAAAGCAGCAGCAGATCATTGTGGAAATAGATATTAACACATAAACTGTATTTACAAATCTGAAATGAATTCACTGTTGTTGGTAAATTCTTGCAACTAGTCTCATCAGCGTCTGGTTTTACCCAGACATACAGATATATCATGGAAATGTTAACTAAAGAGCAGGTACCGTGAAACTTTCTGTTTACTCAGCTGTCTGTCACTCTCTAGACATTCTCTCCTTCATTCTTGTACCTTTCTGCACAGTTCATTTACTGTGGGTTTGCAATGCACCTGGTGTTCATTTCCCTCTCCTCTTTGCTTCAGATTCAATGTTTCCCCCCCTGAATTAGGGCATTCACAGTTGGTAGTTTTGGTGCAATTTAAACAAACTGTGGTGTGATTTCTCAGTTAGTGCAGTTCATTTGAATAAGTGTAAAGGCTGCCATGCGAACTTGGTGTGACAAACAGACCAATACCACTTTTTAGACATAGGGTGTAGTTCAGTTCTCTTGGTTCTTTAAGTTTGGACCAAAAGAAGTGGAAAAAAAGTTTATTCCTGGATCACTTAGCATTCACACTGTCATTTTTTTTTTTTACGCCAAACCTAAATGAAAGGCATAAAGATACAGTCATAACCTGATTGGACAATTTTTATGACATATATTTGGAGAACTTTACAAATATCCCCAAAAATGCTGTGTGCTGGGCTAAATGCACTTGTAGGATGTATGTACATATACCAGTTTTTAACACCAAAGAGTTAATAAAATGTATAAAGAAGTCAAAATAGCAGCAGGAATTCCTCCGTTGCACACATGGAGATCCACTGCAAGGAGATGGCTGTTTGAATGCCAGATATGCTTCAGCATTGTGTCCTATTTAGGGTTGCATCTTGTGACATTTCGCACTGTCTTTGGTTCGTTTGGTCCGTATTGCATTCATGTATCAGTTGGACTGTGCCAGAGTTTGGCAAAGCTTGGATGGAAGCATTCACACTTACTCAAATGAACCGCACCAGTGCTTGATTTAATTGAACCAAACCTGATAAGTGTGAACACAAGCTCGAATACATATGCAGTACGGACCAAAGACATCTAAACAAACCAAAAACAGGACATGATGTCAAAAGATGCGACCCCAAAAAGTGACAGAATGTTCAAGCATATCAGGTTCTTCTCGCCACAGAAGCCATGTTGGCCATTACAGTTCAGTACAGGCATCGAAGCCACCGTCTCATTACAGCAGATCTCGTTGTGTGAAACTGAAGAATTCCTGCTGCTGTTTTGACTCCTTTATACGTTTTATAGTCAATGTGGATTGATGTTCGCAACCATTTTAGTTGAGTTATCAAATGGCAAAAATGCCACACATACAATGAGCGCATTTAGTGAATACAGCGGTTTTGGATGTTCTGTAAGTTCGATAAATATACGTCATAACAGCCAATCAGGTTGTGACTCTATTTTTATGCCTTTTGTTTTGGATCGTTAGGTTCAGTGTAAAAATGACAGTGTGACCGCTAAGCAAACCAAGACTAAATGTAGAGTATCATTTTCTTTTTTAGTCTAGACCAAAATAACCAAAAGAACGAACTACAACTGTAAACACATCCTTAATCATTGCTCTCTTTTGATTGGTTGATTGCCATTCATATTTGCAAAGTAATGATGACTGACAGCTGCTGACACCCATGATATATTAGGATGCAGTCTGTCTGTCATAAAGTCTGGGTTATGAATGTGTTTGACTGCCACAGATATAAATCATGCAGAGAAAGTGAATCCGTTAGCATTCCGCACTCATCTCAACTGTAGTAATGCTATATTACTACATGCTATATATTACTACAATGCTATATAACATGTGCGTCTTTATGCATTTATTCTTTACGCAGTTATACACTTTTGATCTAATAACCTAAAAAACAGAAGCATTTTGCCTGCAGAACGGTGTATCTAATGGTAGGGGATAAACCCTGCGGTTTGCCTTCAAGAATGGAAATATAGCCATTCATAAGGTATGGATTTCAGTCACATGGCCAGATATCAACCTTACTTATCATGCATGACTGTATTTTCATTCGCAAAGGGCAATCTATCATAGAACGACAGGAGATTGACAGAATACAACTTTTCTGTGCCGACAGACCCAGTTGAGTTCCTAGCACAGAGAAGAGGGTGAATACCAAACCCTTAAAATTGAAATACTTAAAAAGTAGAACTGTATCTTGAATGTTAAAATGTAATTCAATTATAGCACCAAACAGAAAATGTATGCATAATATTGACCTGGAGTTATTCCAACACTGTTGCGATGAGAGAAAAGCCTCTTATCTAGAATTGTAATTAAAAACTGTTACTCTTTCCCAGTTGTATTGGGACTTATTCATGAAATACGAGCACTACAGAAGAAATTTCTGCATTCATTGTACATAAAGCCATTCTTACCTAAATTCAATGGGACAATTTACATACTTTTTATGAATGATTTACATTTCTTCAGCTAAAACATTTCAATGCAATACACTTGAAAATGTGCGTTTGCTGCTTTAAATCCAGATGCCTTAAAATTACAACCTGCAGTGATGAGTTTTGACCACTTTGAATTTAATTACAGTTGTAGAAAATTGTGACACTTGAGTAGAAATGGTTGAAATTGTGACAAATTAAATGGATGCAGACAAAAATATTTTATTTTGTGAGTAATATCCAGGATTCAGGATGATACAGAGTCATATCGTGCCTCACAAACATAACCTTAAATGAAAATAAATTGAACACATGCGCACTTATTATGTCTGCTGTATGAAGACCGATGAGCATGCTAATATGCAAAGCAGTTTGTTCAATAACTTTTGGTTATGCTGCAGGATGGCAAAGAGTAAAATTAGTTTACAGTTCACAGGCTGTGGAACAGCACCAAGAGTGATTCTCTTCACACT